TTTTTTTTTTTTTTTTTTTTTTTTTTTTTTTTTTTTTTTTTTTTTTTTTTTTTTTTTTTTTAAAAATAAATACATTTTATTTTTGTTTATTTTATTCTCTGCATAGAAATATATTTATGTGCAGCACCACGGGTTTGGCTGCCGTTGTCTCTGAGTTATATTTTTTTTTATAAAAACTTTGTTTTTTTTGTTTTTTTTTGTTTTTTTTTTCTTTTTTTTTAATAAACAATTATATTTTCTTTTTGTTTTTTTTTGTTCTCAGTGTAGCAATAGACTTATGTGCAGCACCAGGTGGATGGCTGCAGGTTTGTCTTGTTTATATTTTTTTTTTTATAAAATTTTTGTTTTTTATTCTTTTTCTCTCCTTTTTTTTCGTTTTTTTTTCTTTTTTTTTCTTTTTTTAATAAATAAATAAATACATTTGTGTTTGTGTTTTTTATTCTCAGTGTAGCAATAGATCTATATGCAGCACCAGGTGGCTGGCTGCAGGTTTGTCTTGTTTATATTTTTTTTTATAAAAACTTTGTTTTTTATTCTTTTTTTTTCGTTTTTTTTTCTTTTTTTTTTCTTTTTTTAATAAATAAATAAATAAATAAATAAATAAATATCTGTTTGTTTTTTTTTGTTCTCAGTGTAGCAATAGATCTATGTGCAGCACCAGGTGGCTGGCTGCAGGTTTGTCTTAGCTATATTTTTTTATAAAAACATTGTTTTTTATTCTTTTTCTCTCCTTTTTTTCCGTTTTTTTTTTCTTTTTTTTTCTTTTTTTTTCTTTTTAATAAACAATTATATTTTCTTTTTGTTTTTTTTGTTCTCAGTGTAGCAATAGATCTATGTGCAGCACCAGGTGGCTGGCTGCAGGTTTGTCGTCGTTATATGCCTTTATCTAGCATTATAATAGGCGTTGATTTGGTGTCTATACACCCCATCAATGGCTGTAAAACTATACAAGCAGATATCACCACCAATATATGCAAAACAGAAATTAATAAACTACTACAGGTATGTTTATTTGTTTATATTTATTTATAAATACATT